TAGAACTGAAGCAAATTCACCAAACAAGTAGAGCAGTGACTGACCCGGCTCGGCCTCGGCTCGCAGAGGGGAGAGCAGGAAGAATCATCTCACGGAATAGTCCAGCAGGATGAGGGGACATTCAGGGAGCATTGAGTCCTGGGCACGAGAATTAGAGTCTCCTTGGGCCCCGTGTGGCTCAGACCACCAAGGGAGGCCAGAAAGCCAGGCTGGGGAGAGCTCAAACCCAGCTGATAACAGGGACGGGTTTGCTTCACCTGGAGAAATGGACACACAGAGGGGAGGTCAAAGAGGCATCTTCAAATGTTTGACAGGCGGTGGGGAGCCACATCCCAAGGTAGTGAGCTCCCCATCACTGAACATATTCGAGCAGGTACTACAAACCATTGACTTTCAGTGATGTGGCATAGGTGATTCCAACTGGGGGAGGTTCATCTGGATGGCCTTTGGGCCTGTTCCAGTGGGGAGCTTAGGATCCCGCCTAAGAGAGGAGAACTCGTGCTCCATCCAATAGGAGAGGCCCATGGAGAGGAGGAAGAAGCACAGAGCAGGTGTGACCCTGGGCAGGCTGCCTGATGTCTCTGTGCCTCCGTTTTTCCTCTGTGGCACGGAGGCGATGGGAGTAATAGTGTCCTCTCGGGCACATTGAGATCAACGTGCTCACAGCTGTGAAGGTGCTCTGAAAACTGCGCAGTCCCTCAGTTGGAATGCTCAGTGTGGAGCAGTGTGTGACGGGGACAGCGAGTCCGTGCCCACCCTCTCTGACCCCTGCCCCGGGTCCGAGGAGATTCCTGTTCCCTAAGAAAGCACCGCAGGAGGGAGCCCACCTGGGCTGAGAGCCAGGGAGGGGATCTTGGGGACTCGGAGGAGAGTGCCAGCGTGCCCTGTGCCTTCTCTCCACAGCCGTGGTCTCCTCCACCGGAGGCACAGGCTACAGTGCAGGTGGCGGTGGCCTCTGTGTGGCCGGAGGCGGCTACAGCAGCAGCCTGGGCTACGGCGGGGGCGGCGGCTTTAGCTCCACCAGTGGCCGCAGCATGAGTGGCAGCAGCTCCAGCATGCGTATCATCTCCAAGACGTCATCCACCAAGAAGAGTTACAGGAGCTAAAGGGCCCCGCCAGCCTCGGCTGCCCCCTCAAGGTCCCCAATGCCCAACCCTAAGGCCTGCCGCTTTGCTGATGCTCCATGCACACAATCAACAGCCAGAGGCGAGGGGAGTGGTCTGTGAGTTCTAAGGTCACCTTGCCCATCCCTCTGTCTCAAGGAAGTACCCCCCTTGCTCCTCATCCCAGAGCCCTCCAAAGTCCCCAGGCATCCAATCCAACTAACGCTGACTCAACTGCTCTGTGCCAAGACCCAGGCTAGGACTTTGCCCGTCGGTGGCTTCCAGAGCAAGGGTGAAGAAGTAGGGTCTTCCTCTCCCCATCCGAGCCGAGTCCACTGCACCCATACTCCTTTATGGGGGAGGGGCGAGCTTAGGATTGACCTTGGTACCCCCAAAGAAGTTGAGTGTAATCTCGGCCAGAGTTCACGCGTGTGTGCTCTCTCACTGCACACAGAACCATCTCCTACATGCCCCCCTCACACCAGGGAATGTCGCCAAACTGGCCGGCATATTGTGTCCTCACCTCCTGCCTTCTTGTCCCCACCCAGCCACCAGCCACTTCCCCTGACAACCCCCACCATCAGAATATTGGAGTAAGAAATCAACACCACACAAAACATTACCAACTCAATTATTCATGCTAGAATAGAATAATTTTATCAAGAACCCAAAAGTTCTCCATGGCCTAGGACTATGTTCCATGATCGTTCATAGCCAAACGCCTTCCAATCAGCCTCATTGAAGCCAATATTAGAATTACTGCCCCACTCAGAACCGCCCTGCTGCTGAGTGGGAGGGAGGCAGGCTCACGCCAGGCTGTGGGAAGGCAGCGAGGCAGAAGGTGCACCAGGTAAGGGAGTCCAGTTGGCCTGTGTTAGAACTGCCCTGGGAGAATCCCCCTGCAGAATAATCGTCCGGGCTCAGGAGTCTTTCTCCATCCTCTGTGGTAGCCATGTCCCTTTTCTGGAAAGTTCTCTTTCCTGCTTACTTTTCTCTTTCCCCCTTCTCATCCACCCTCCCTCCTTATTCTCCTCCCCCTCCCCCACCATATGTGATCCCTCTCCCGATCCCTCCTCTCCGCCCCTTTATTTCTTTTCTCCCTCTCCCATTCATCCGTTTGGCAATAGATCTCCTGCTCCCTCCTTCCTGACCTTTCTTTCTCTATCTCCCTGTCTCTGAAATATCTACAGTGTGGATTTTCCTGTCCCCAGCCTTGGCTACAACCACAACTCTTAAGGCAATCCACCAAACCCCCTGCCCCACAGGGAAGACCTAAGAGGGCAGACACGGGAGAGGGGCGGTCCTCCCCCTGTGTCTTTCCTCGCTCTCAGAGGATGCTTGCTCGGCCTGTGAAGGAAGCAGAGGTAGGGGAACAGTGGAAGAGGGGAGCCACGTAGGCACAGAGATCTTTCCCTACTTGAGGAACTGTGAGCCTTCCCAATACCTGCCACGTATTCAAGACCAAAATGCATTCCAAAAGCAGGCAGGGACTGGCCGCCAGCTGTAGACATGAAGACAGGAGAGAAAAAAGTCACCCCGCTCTGATGGTCTCAAACCCTTCTGAACTGCCTGCTCCCCATGCCTGCCTATTTCCTAAAATCGCTTCAATAAAGTGTCACCGAGCTCTCTAGGTCTTGGTGGAGTCTGCGTCCTCTCTCACATTCTGGGCAACATTGGACCTGGTGTTATCCTGGAGCACTTGCCTTCCACCCACAACAAATCCAGGGAAGCATCCTACTCTCTGTTCCCAAGCTCTAGTCCTGGGCTCCAGGGAACCCAATGCATCACGGCAACATACTCTGGTCTACCTAGGGGTGGAGGGGGAAGGCTCTCCAGTCTGGCTTCTTGGTGTCTCCAGCACTGTCTCCTGGGCCCACCTCTGGGACTCTTACCCGAGGGTGGAATGGGAATCCCCTTTTTCTGACATCATGCAACAAGACCCACCCCACCCCACCTCTGCCTCCCACCATTGCCCACAGCCCCTTGTTATTCCCCTGACATCCCCAAGCCCTGCTTGCCCTCCCCAGCACTCTAGGACCCAAAGTTAAGACTATGAAAAAAGGAACTGTGTGAAATGTCACAGTTAAACCAAAACTGTGGGGTCCCAATCTCCTAATTTACAGGTGGAACCAAGAAGTCATAAGCATATTGGCAGGAGCCTCCATTCTTTTTTTAAATGTTTATTTATTGTGAGAGAGAGAGAGCACATGTGGGGAAGAGACACAGAGAGAAGGAGAGAGAAAATCCCAAGCAGACTCCATGCTGTCAACACAGAGCCCCCATGAGGGGCTTGAACTCACAAACTGAAATCATGACCTGAACCGAAATCAAGAGTGGGACACTCAATTGACTGAGCCACCCACGTGCCCCAGGAGACCCCCATTCTTAACCAGGCTTCTCTCCACCAGAGCAGCAGAGCATGGTGATGTCAGAAAGAATAGGATCGAATCCCAGCCTACCACAGATAAGCTGTGTGGTTTGGGGTACTTTAATTAAGTCCTTCAATCACTCGGCTCCTTACTTTCGTCATCAGTAAGGCAGAAACTGCTTCACGACGTCATCATACAATTAAATGAGATAATGGATGTAAGGCTTATGGTGGTCCCAGCACACAGGAAGCACCCAATAAGTTGCTATTATTATTATTGGCTTGATTTTGACCTGGAGAACAGCCAGCGAGGGAGGGAAAGACAGCTGGCCCCAGCGGAGGTCTCACTGATGGAACTGACAGAAAGGGAGGAAGGAAGAGAATCAGGGGGCATTGCAAACATCTCCAAAGAGCTGTGACCTGGGTGCTGGGGAGAAAGCCTGTATCCCGCATACACCTGAACAATTCCTGAGGGCAACAAATGTCCCCAGAAATGTCCTCAGGCCAGAGCAGACTCCGTCTACCTCAGGGAGGCCAGGGACGGGGTGAGGAGAAAAGGCAAAAGAGTAGTGACACAATAGTATTGATCTGATGGTTGACCACAATGCGTCCTTGAGGGCCCAGAGATTCTTGGGGAGAGCATCCCTTCCTCTCCCCTCCTCAAGCACAAAGCATCTCCTCTGGAGTCCCCTGTAGGCTTTTTTTTTTTTTCAACGTTTATTTATTTTGGGGACAGAGAGAGACAGAGCATGAACGGGGGAGGGGCAGAGAGAGAGGGAGACACAGAATGGGAAACAGGCTCCAGGCTCTGAGCCATCAGCCCAGAGCCTGACGCGGGGCTCGAACTCACGGACCGCGAGTTCGTGCCCTGGCTGATGTGGGACCCTTAACCGCCTGCGCCCCCCGGCGGCCCCCGGCCTTTTTTTTTTTTTTTTTTTTTTTTTAACTAAATGGGCCCAAAGACAAGAGTCAATGTCAGGAGCCCTCGTGGCACTGAGTCGAAACCAGTACCCGCCTGGCCTGAGCCTGTTTGTGGAGGCTTCCCCCACCCCAAATCCTCCCTCCCAGAAAGCCTCTAGGATCACCTAGGAGCCCATGATGAGCCTTGCACATCAGCAGAGAAGCAGAAAAGCAGCCTTGGGGAAATAGAGCATCCCCAAGCATAGTTAATTTGGCCTCTAGTCCTGGGGCAACCGGAGGGTATAATTCATCCCCCACATATACCATGAAGTGACGTAAAGTCCCAACTCTCCCTTTCCTTGAGGCTGAGCCACCCAATATGCCCACCGTCTGGCTGGCTGGCCCCTTTCATCACCCCCATAAACGAGGAAAGGGGACACCAGCACTGCCCACTGGCTCCCTCCCTTTGCTCTCTGCTACCCTAATTATCCACCTTGGTACTTAGCTGCTGCCAACAGCCCAAGCTTATAAACCTGTTAATGGTGGTTTGGGCTTTGACCCTGCCCAGCCCTCCATCTCCCACCAAATAAAAGGGCAGAAGCTGGGCTGACCTGGTAACTCGCATCACCCGCTCTCCGGGCCAGCCACCTCTCTGCCTCTGTCCCGCCATGTCGTGCCGCTCCTCCCAGCAGGGCTCCAGGTGTGGCAGCCGGAGCTTCAGCTCGTGCTCAGCTGTCCTTCCCCGGATGGTCACCCACTACGCAGTGAGCCAGGGGCCGTGCCGGCCCGGGGGTGGGGGGGGCCTCCGTGCCCTGGGCTGCCTGGGCTCCCGGAGTCTGTGCAACGTGGGCTTCGGGAGGCCCCGGGTCGCCTCCAGGTGTGGCCTGCCTGGCTTCGGCTACCGCACAGGGGCCGCCTGTGGGCCCTCAGCCTGCATCGCCCCCGTCACCATCAACGAGAGCCTGCTGGTCCCGCTCGAGCTGGAGATCGACCCGGCCGTGCAGAGGGTGAAGAGGGATGAGAAGGAGCAGATCAAGTGCCTGAATAGCCGCTTTGCATCCTTCATCAACAAGGTAATAGGCTGGGGCTGTGGGATGCAGAGAGCACCTTGTGTCGGGTCCAGGCAGGCAGGGACAGACCGGTGATGGAGAAGCCACAGTTTGATTGATTGGCTCTCCTGAAACTGTATGACCGCTAATCGTTGAAAGCTGCTTACATCAGGCTCAGCACTAGACATCTCTGCCTGCTCGCTCGTTCTTTTTTCACGACGTCATTTCTCTCTCTGAATATTATCTGGTAACATCACCAAGGCTGCCTGAGGTCAGACTACAAGAGGAACTTCCAAACAATGACAGATACCGAAAAGAAAAACCAAGGAGGTAGATGAGGCTTTAACAATAGAGCCACCTTCTGGGGCACGTGGGTGGCCCAGTCGGTTAGCCATCTGACTTCGCCTTAGGGCATGATCTCCCAGTTCATGGGTTCAAGCCCCATCCTGGGCTCTGTGCTGACAGCTCCGAGCCTGGAGCCTGCTTTGGATTCTGTGTCTCACTCTCTTTCTGTCCCTCCCCTGCTCACACTCCGTGTTTCTCTCTCTCTCTCTCTCACGCTCTCTCTTAAAAATAAATAAACATAAAATTTACGAAAAATACAAGAGAGCTGTCCTCTGAGTGCCTGAGCTGGCACGAGACCCTTGGGCCTGGATTCACCACCAGCAAAGGCCCAGGGTGAGGAGAAGATGGAGAAGTCAGAGCTGGGAACACAGGGAGCTAGCTGTCACCAAAGCCTTGTCTCTTTCGTCCTCAAAGCCACAGCTCTAGAAGACTACAGGGAATAATGGTGTGCTGCCTTTGAAAGGCACTGAACTGACCAAGTGGAAGTTCATGCAGCTGCCTCCGTACCTGTCCGCATACCCCAGGGAGGCTCTCGGGATGAAGATACATGCCAGGGGCTGAGCCAGTGTTTCTGCTGACCCCAACGTGTAGGGCAAAGAATCCTGGGTCAGCAGTCGGGAGGCCAGGGCCCTGGTGTCGGCCCTACTCCCGCCTGACCCCGAGGCCCCGTGCAAACCTCTCACTTCCCAGCCTCAGGGCCCTTGCCGCCCAGCAGGGAAGGGGGCCGTGATGGTGGAGAATCAGAGGTGGTAATACACATAAAAGTGCTCCAAAAAGAAACTGATTTCAGTAAATGGGAACTGTTACACTTACAGTTTTATCTTTAAAGCTCCTTAGGTTCTGGGCTCTGAGCTTCAGCAACATCACTCTACCTTCTGTAGGTCCGGTGACCAGAAGTAGGGCAACATTTCTTCCTCTGCAGGTTTCTTTTGAGGATTGGATGTCGTGCGCCCTCTGCCAATGGCTAATGGGGTGGCAGTGATCAGCTCACCCAGCTCCTACTAATCTTGGTTTCCAAGGCACCGAAAGGGAGAAGCTGGGCCAGCAGACCTCTCCATTGCTGTGACAGGGACACTTTTTGGATGCAGCCACGCAGGGTGCAGCAGAGTCAGGGCAAAGAGCTTAGAGCCCTAGAACGAAGCCTTTAATCTGACCTCCCTGAGTGCCCCTGGGCTGTGACCAAAGAAAGCCTGAACTCCGAAGCATAATGTCACCAGCTGACATTGGTAGGAAGATTTCTGAAGTGCTTCTTCCCATATACGATACCAAGCAGGAAGCTTAGGGCCAGGATGTCTCGGCCAAGGTTACCAGGCTAGGGGGAGATAGGCAGGCAGGGCCGGAAGGGGGACCTGTCCCAGGCCTCTTGGGACAGTAGCCCTCCCATGACAATATGCAACCCCTGGGTGGAAGGTGGGGGGGGGGGTCCCATAAGCTCCCCGAGGCAGGGGAGAGATGGAGATATGCTGCGGTGCCAGTCTACGCGGGGAGCCTCATCTGAAAATGTTAGCACACTGGCAGCAGCAGTGTGTTGGGAGTAAGAGCACACGCTGATCCCACCGCCCGTCCACCCCACCACCACCGCTTACTCTCTCCCGGCCGTGGTCCCCAGGCTCCCTGCTCTCCAGTGACAGCCTGTTCTTGGCTACAGGTGCGATTCCTGGAGCAGAAGAACAAGCTGCTGGAGACCAAGTGGAACTTCATGCAGCAACAGAGGTGCTGCCAGAGCAACATAGAGCCCATCTTCGAGAACTACATCAGCGCCCTGCGGAGGCAGCTGGACTTTGTGGCGGGGGACCGGGCCAGGCTAGAGTCAGAGCTCGGCAGCCTGCAGGACGCGCTGGAAAGCTACAAGAAAAAGTGAGTATGGCCCACTTCCGCCCTGCCGGGGGACCTGGAGCAAGCCCCATAAACCACCTGGGCCTCAGTTTCCCCATCTACAAGATGAGAAGCCTAAAGCTCAGTTGATTAGGTGGAGGAACAGTGCAGTGGATAAGACAGGCAGGGCATTTAGACAGGGCAGAAGCTCTGAAATGGCGTTTGCCTTCACCACCCTTCCCGCCACCTTCCCTCAGTTAGGCCCTCCTCACGTCTGTGTGATACAAGCTCTTTCTCCTGCCTTCTTCCCGCGTTTCAGGGCTCTGTTCTACCACTCGTCCTGCCTTATCTTCCATCAGTCCCCGTTCAGATCCGGAACTACTTCTTATTCCCCGAACAGGCCCCCAAACCCTCTTCCCTCCAAACTTTTCCTCCCGCTGTCCCTTCCCCCTGATAGGCCCCTCTCGGCATCTCTTCGGACCACATCCAAGCTAACGCAGCCCACAGTTCCTCTCGCTCCCCGACGCTCAGCTCCCGGACTTCCTGCCCAGAGCTGGAAGCCACCACCTGTCGGGGCTCCACGTCCCCAGTTCTTGTGGTCAAGGTTATGTAGACCTGCTACACTTGCCCTCCCTGAGGGCAGCTCCTGGCCTGACTCACAAGAGAAGGCAGCTGAGAAGCAGATGTTAATTAAGGGTTTGCAGGCTACTAGGTCCAATGCCCGCAAGAGGCTTGAGGCCCAGATAAACTGCCTCACGGGTCCTAGGTGGGTCTATCCAGGTCTAGGGTCCCATGGGACCACATGTTTTGGGGGGGGGGGCGGTTTGAGAGAGACACATTTCCATAGACAAGAGGCGGTGAAAATACGCTCAGAGCAATGGTTCCTAAGGGATGTGGATCAGTGGAACGGAGCCACATGGGGGACACTTGTGCTACAAGTGTCAGTCATATGCTTACTTGGTGCCAGACACTGTGCTGAGCTGGCTCCTTCCCTCACGATACCCCAGTCCGGCACAGACCCCCATGCACCCCCACCCACAGCAACAACAGGGTACAGGGCAGAAAGAGAGAGGAATACCCAGAGAGTGAGAGAGCAGGCAGGGCCCAGGGAAGCTTCCCGGAGAAGGTGCCATTTGCTTGGGGCTTTGATGAAGTTTCATTCCAGTTGGGTCTTCCAAAAGGGGAGTCCCAAGTAGACCCTAGGCAAGGAGAAGGGACAGGAGCAGGTGACAGGAGGGCCAGAGTGTGCCAAGTGACACAGGACAACTCAAGCAGACTGTGACAGGTGGGACATGGCAAAGCCAGCCCTCTCAGCAGGAGCAGTGCCTTTCTCGGTGGGTAAGACACAAGATGGTCAGGAGACATGGTTTGCATCACAGGATGAAGACTTTGGATTGGGAAGGTGGGGAAGCATAGGAGGAGTTAAATGGTGTTAACTCACAGCAGCTCTATGAAGCCGCACAAGTGTTCCTCTCTTGCTGTACATGATGAATGCGAGGCACCAAGAGGCCAAGTCCCTTACCCCAAATCACATGACTAGCACCTGACTGAGCTGGGGCTCACACCCAGGCAGCAGGCTCCAGCTTCCGGTGGCCCTGCTAAGGCCGAGCTCTGCCACCAAAAGGAAGGATGGGCGTCAGGAAGCAACGTGAAGCTTTTAATGGATCAGTGTCGCTCATCAGCGACTGAGTCATTCCAGCCACACTGAACCTAACCCTGATTCCACTGCCCAGGGGGGCACTGAGTGGGCGAGGAGCTCCCTGGGAGCCGAGAGGAAAAGGTCAGGCTGTCTCTCCAGCTCTGGTAAGTGGGTCATTGCTACCTCTGCAAATGAGCTGCAGGTAGAGGCAAGGCTCCGAACTCTCCTGGAGGGGAGGGGGCCCCGGGTCGGCTGCGATTTCAGTGACTGTAGCCAACCCTCAGAACAACTCAGAGAGGACAGCAGAACCAGCAGCAGACAGCCCACTCTGCACCACCTTCCCAGAGGAAACAACTCTGGGACGAAGTGGGCTTCCTTAGCAGCAAGATAGAATGCAGGTAGCCTTAAGAAGGACTTCCCAGAAGATGACTGATCATAGGAACAGCCTACTGGGGAGCAGGGAAGGAAGTAAACATGCAAAGCGGCTAAAAAGAGGCTATGATGACAACCATCTGTCCTGAGTGGCTGGAAGAGCCAGAGGTGTCCAGTGATGGGGACTGGACCTGGCGGTTCCCTTAGGGGATTAAGCCAGTGAGAGGCAGATCTGTCCCAAAGGCCCCCTCCCTCAGGCTGGATGCCCAGGCGGCTTCCGAACGGCCCCAAGACAGACTAAAACATTTCTTCCTGCTCACCCACCAGGTACGAAGAGGAGCTCTCCTTGCGGCCTTGTGCTGAGAACGAGTTTGTCGCCTTGAAGAAGGTGAGGGAGGGTGGCACAGGGAGAGAGAAGGCCCCGGAGCTGGCCCAGCCGGCCTTGCCACCCTCGGCCCCTGACCGTGTCCAGACATGCCTGCAGCCCACCCACCCACCCCCAACAGGGCCTCTCATCCCTCAGCCCCCGGGGGCCATCCCCATTGACCCTGGGAAAGAGGAAGGCCAGCCCCCACCCACTTCTTACAGAAGGGCAGCGATTGACCTGGCCTCCACCTCCCAACTCATGGGGGTCCAACCCGGTTAAGGGTTGTGTCTACACCTGCCCAAGAAGCTGGAGATATGGCGAATGCCAAATCAAATGCAAAACAAGAACTCTGCCTCTAACCACAAAAGATAAAAACAATAGCAATGGTTTTTCAGACAGATGCCTAGGTACTTTATGGCCCATGCCCTGCACGGTGGGCTTTGAGAAGCTGCATTCAGAGCTCCTTCAAAATGCACTCCCTCAAATCCTTCACCCTCAGGGTGCCGGGCCCAGGCATGGGGTCCTGGGACTGGGGCCCCTCCCCCTATCCTTGGCTCTGTCACCTTTTCACTTCCACGTGGGCCTACACATGGATCCCACACTGCCACCAGCTTGCCTGGGAGGTGGCCCAGTCGGTGGAGGGGGTGGCCTTCGCATGTTCTCCCGGCCCCAGGTTATGGCTGTCACTGCTCTGGCCGCAGGACGTGGACACAGCCTTCCTGATAAAGGCTGATCTGGAGACCAACGTGGAGGCTCTGCTCCAGGAGATCGACTTCCTGAAAGGCCTGTATGAGGAGGTACCCACAGCCCCGCTGCCCGCAGGTGCTCAGTCAGGGCCAGTTCCGTGGGCAGGACAGAGTAGGGGAGCTCCAGCAGGGACGGCCCCGGGCTAGCTGACTCCAAAGTAAGATGGGGAGAAATCAAGCAGACAGCTTGTGAGACCCCCAGAAGACACAGGGCCCAGACCTTGGCTCTTGGGTCTACGTAACTAGAAGGGGGACAAGGAACAGGTCGGTGATAGAAGGCTTGGGACAGCCTTTCAAAGGGCTGTGCAAATCTGCTATGGGAGGATCAGAGTTGCTTCCACCTCTCCCCCGCCCCCACCTTTATCCTCAAAACGCTCACACACTCCCATCTGGGGCCCCCACCCCCAGGAGATCTACCTGCTGCAGTCTCAGATCTCAGAGACCTCCGTCACCGTGAAGATGGACAACAGCCGGGAGCTGGATGTGGACGGCATCGTGGCCGAGATCAAGGCCCAGTATGACGACATCGCCAGCCGCAGCAAAGCCGAAGCCGAGGCCTGGTACCAGAGCCGGGTGAGGCCCGGGCAGGGCGAGGCCGGGGGGTGGGGCTGGGGGACCCCAGACCCCCTCTCCCCCAGGAAGTGAGTGAGGAGATAATGAAGGCAGAGGGAACCCCATAAACCCAGTTCCTGTTGTTCCTGCCAGGCCCCAGGCCAGGGCCCTGCAGAGCGTGTGGGAGGGGACCCCACAGACAGCCCAGGCCTGTCATCAGGGTGTCAGCGCACCCCAGCTTTACCCACCCACGGACCTACTGCAATGTTCCTCTAAGCAGCATTCAAGAAACGCTAATTGGCAATGACTGCAAAGAGGGGCTGTGGGCACTAATGGCAGGGCAGGAGCCGTCATTAAGGCGGCCCCAGACTTAGGGAATTAGGGGCTGGCTGGGAGGGAAGGGGATGCCCCCAAGGGCAACTTGACTTCACAAATATTTTCATGTCTGTCTCACCTGCCCTGTCTGAGAAAGGCACCACGCACTCATTCACTCATTTATTCATCCAGTAACTTCATTGCCACGCACTGTTCTAGATGCTGGATTCCAGCAGAAAACAGAATAGACAGCAATCCCTGCCTTCATGTCACATTCATCCCAGAGGCAGGGGCGGGGTGGCAGGTGCAGACAAGAAATGAGGCGAATAAGTACAGTGGATGTACGTTAGATGGTGACGTGTGCCATGGCGTTACTGAGGCGTGTGGCACCAGGATGATGCTAAGAGTCACACCATCCCTGTCCTCAAAGAGGTTACAGAAATAGACCATCCACAGGTGACACGGGGGCTCTATGTTGCCATCAGGGACACAAGCTCCTTCTAGCTTTTTATGCTGCCACCCTTAACATGGCTTTAATCCTCACGGTTGCCTCATGTCCCAAGAAGGCTGCCGTAGTGCTAACTTCACATGTTCATTCCAAGGAGGAAAAAGCACACAGGGCAAAAGAAGCATGCTGAATGAGTCATCTCCCACTTTAAACAGCTTTCCTGGAAGTATTACCCATAGAAATCATTATGAAAGGGCCAAGAAATATTCTCTTATCTGGGCTCACTGCCACCCCAAACAAAAGGAGAGTTCTGCTTGAAGAAGAGGAGAGTGGATATTTTTTAGACAGCGGCGGGCTTTGTCACAACAGCCAAACAACAAAAGGGCCAAAGGAGAGTGATATGTGCTTATCACTTGTTTCGCCTTCTCTATGCAAAATGCTCCCATCCATTATGTGCAGAAAATCTAAAGTTGGCTGCTTTTTTAATCTATAGGTGTAGTCGATAAGACATTATTCAGAAATTGAATTCAGAGTTGCATAGGTTTAAAAAAAAAAATGTTAAGCCAAAGTAGGAAGTAATATTGCATTTCGTCTTCAATTGTTTTGAAGGAGAATAGACAAAGGTACTCAACCCTGGTGGTCTGTCCTCACTCCCAGATGTGTTAGGCAGCCCAGGCTGAGCACAGAAACCCCTTCTCAGGTCCAGAGGGAAATCTAATAGGGAAGGAGCCCTCAGCAGACCCCCGGGGCGGGGGGAAGATGAGCCACAGAACAGCTAAAGAGAGAAAAGGAGAACTTGGAGAAGCATTTACTAAGGCTGAAGGTCCAGGGCTGGGGAAGGAAATAAGGAGAAGCCCAGAAAAGGGCCAGAAATGGAAAAAGGAATGGGGGAGAAAGCAAGCATAAGAATCCAGAGAGCCCTGAGCTAGGAAACCACTGGAGAGACTCAGGACAGTGAGAAGGGGGGCTGCGAGGCGCTACAGGGTGGGCGTTGTGGCGTCCTGACCTCCCCGGTCCCGGCAGTATGAGGAGCTGCGGCTGACAGCGGGGACCCACTGTGACAATCTCCGCAACCGTAAGAACGAGATCCTGGAAATGAACAAGCTGATCCAGCGGCTTCAGCAAGAAACTGAGACCGTGAAAGCCCAGGTGAGGCCAGAAAGATCTCGTTTCGAGAACCCCGTTAGAGGCTGCCCTGCTGGTTGGTCGGTGGGGGGGTGGGGGGGGGTGGGGGGGGTGGGTCCGCTCTCCCTGGGAGCATCTCAAAGAGGCCATGAACTTGTGCTGCCCTCGCTTAAGAAGGAACAAGCCCTTTCCACGAAAGCTGACCGACAGCAGGAACAGCCTCGGGAAACAGCGAGATCCCAGCATAGGCTAGGCAGCCTTCGGTCACAGATGAAATAGCAAGGGTGCTTCACTAGATGGGGGCTTAGAAAAGATGCTCGCCATGGCCCCTCCCTACCCAAAGGCTCCAGTCCTAGGATCCTACAATTCATGACTCCCAGGAGTCCATACACGTGGCCCCACTCCATTCTCCTAGGCTGGTGAAGACCAGCCAGACACTCCAAATCTGTTAGCCTCTAAGAATTCGCTTGGGTCTCCTTGAGGTGTTATAGATGGAACTGGCCCCAGTTCTCTGGAGTTCAGCTGTCACAATCCTAAGACGAAACGCACAGCAGCTGTGAATCTGGCACATCACCATGACTGAGAAGGAAACCTCCCTCCTCCTCCTGTGTGTCCCTTTTACTGTCACATTACTCCCACATGCATGAAGTTGCTCTCACAGACAATTCAGCCACCCCAGCTGGTGCCCAACAGTTCCATTCAACTCTGACACTACCTACCTGGAGAGAGGGTCAGATCCCACAGGGTTAGGGCTCAGTCCCACACAACTGCCCTTGTTCCGGATGCCGATCGTGAGTCCCACAGAACTCAAGAAAACAGCTTGCTTATGTTTAGCAGTTAGTATAAAAGGATATGATAAAGAATACAGATGAACATCCAGAGGGAAGAGACACACAGGGCAAGGGAGGGAGGCGGGAAGGATCCAGAGCTTCCGTGCCCCTCTCTGGGCACGTGATGCTCCCTATACCTCCTCACGTACACCAACCTGGAAGCTGCGTGAACCCCATACTTCGGGGACTTTTATGGAAGCCTCCTCTCGTAAGCATGATCCATTATTAACTGCATTTCCAGCCCCTCTCCCTTCTCCAGTGAAGGCAGGGGGGAGTGGGGCTGGAAATTCTAAGTTTCTAATCATGGCTTGGTCTTTCTGGTGACCAACCCCCTATCTAGGAGCCATCCAGGACCCACCCAGAGTCACCTCATTAGAACAAAAGACATTGCTCTCATCCAGGAATTCCAAGGGACTCGGGAATTCTGTGTCAGAACCAAGGGTCAAAGACCAAGTGTTAGAACAAAAGATGTTCCTAATGCTCTTATCACGTGGGAAATTGCGAGGATTTAGGAGTTTTGCACCAGGAACTGGGGCAGAGACCAATATACATATGTTTTATTATCTCACAATGGCCATGTTCTCCCTGTCCTTCTGAGAGTCAGCCTCAGGCTCCAGGGGCCCCCAGTAATGCCTTTCTGTGCCCGTTCCCCCAGCGCTGCAAGCTGGAGGCCGCGGTGACCCAGGCAGAGCAGCAGGGCGAGGCGGCCCTCAGTGACGCCAAGTGCAAGCTGGCAGGGCTGGAGGAGGCCTTGCAGAAGGCCAAGCAGGACATGGCCTGCCTGCTCAAGGAGTACCAGGAGGTGATGAACTCCAAGCTGGGCCTGGACATCGAGATCGCCACCTACAGGCGGCTGCTGGAGGGCGAGGAACACAGGTTAGTCAAGGCGAAGCACCGAGGACGACGTGTTCCCCTGCCCTCTGGTTGCTGGGGCTGCGATTGCGCGTCCTGCTAGTCAGGGAACATCCGAGACAGTGCATAATCCACAGGCCCTCCTCCTTAACACTGTCCACAGTGGGGGCAGGAGAAGGGTGCCCCACATTCATTGACCTTGTTCTCTGTGATGCAGTGACCTTGTGCCTTCTTCTTTCCACTCCAGGCTGTGTGAAGGCATTGGGCCGGTGAATATCTGTGAGTAGCCCAGCACTCCCGTGGGGCTCTGGGGTTGTGGGGGCTGATCAACCCAACAAGGACAGACCACTGTCCTGCCCAGACTTCAGCGTGCCTCCCCCACCCCCAAGGAAGGGCTCTGTCTGCCAGGAGCTCCTGGGCGGATGGAGAAGCGCTACTTCAGGACTGTCCAAGTCTTCGGGAGTCAGAAGTAGGAGCTGATATGCCGCAGGGCCTCAGTGCTTTGGGGCCCAGACGCTGCCAGGAACCCATCATGACAAGGAGACGCCTCTATGGAGGAAATAGTTCGGAAGCAGGCTCGGACAAGTAGAAACTGACAGCATGAAGTGGAGGCCAAGGCTTTGGGAAACAAGGAGAGGCAGAAGGGGGGCAGAAGGGGAAGAGGCAGAAGGCTAAGCACTTTTTATGGCTAGAGTGGGAAGTCGGTGGCTGGCACGGGGGTGTCCTTATCGGTGAGTGGCAGCAGGTGGGGGGCATGGCCTGGTCTAGGGCAACGCCCTTCCAGCCTCCCCGTGCAGGACCCTGAGCATCCCTCTGTGTTCCCACAGCCGTGAGCAGCTCCAAAGGCGCGGTCCTCTACGAGCCGTGTGTGGTCAACACACCCGTGCTGAGGACCGAATACTGCCCGGGGGGCACCAGGGTCCTCAAGAGCAGCGGGGGCTGCAGCGTCGTGGGCACCGGTGAACTCTACATCCCCTGCGAGTCCCAGGGGCTACTGGGCTGTGTGAGCGGGAGGAGTTCAGGCATGAAGCTGGGGGCTGGGTGCGGCTCCTCCCGCCACAAGTGTTAGCATTGCCCCAGAAGCTGCAAGCCCAGCGACAGGGCGCTAGCCCCCAGCCTGGATGTTGTCCACCGATCAGCTGAAGACAAGGATATTCCTAAACCCCTTCCGGTATTGACCACACGTTTCCCTCCTGTTTTCACACTGGGAGCCGCCCCTCGGGTATCTTTAAGAGTCACCTTTCACTTGGCTATGTGCAGACCCTGAGCTAGGCCTTGGGGGTGGACACATTAAAGTTCTGCTTTGTGGACTATCCCCTGGAAGACTCCCTACAAAGCCAGTCTCCCACCCCCTACCCCTGGAGGTTCCCCACCTCCCTTACCTCTGGCTCTCACGCACTTAAGAAAAGAGAACTTCTTTTAACCCCCAGCTAACACATGCACTATCGCAATTATCAAAAAGAGGCACCCCCAAATCTCCCATTCTGAATTCCAAAGCCAAGTGCCACCATTTCAGGATCACTCCAGACCTGTCAACGGTTCTCTCTGGTACACAGAATCAAGAGGGGGTTCTTTAGGGCAGTAGATTTACCTGCCCGTGTGTGCTAAACTCACACTATGAAAATACATTTTTTTCCTGAACCGCATCGGCAGCTGATGGGCGAGGAAATGTCTAGAACAAGGGCAAGGGAACAAGGAATACTTACTAGACGGAGAGAGTCAAGACCTCTTGGCTTGACAAGAGTCAAGGACGAGCCCTTCCCCCACCTTCTGTATATAGCCCTCCCCTCCCCACCCCATCTACCTCCAGTCCTGCTCCTTCTCCCCTTAGGTCCTCTTGCTTTGGGTCTGTTATAAATGTGTTTTCCTGGCTACGGTGATGTGGGGCTGCCCAGAAACTTGGAGGCTTTGGCTCAGGGGCCATCACAAGGGGTTGTGCTGATCCCCTCTCCCCAGAGGTCCCTAGTGCTGCATCGGGCAGTAGCGTCACCCATCTAGGGAGCCACCACCTCTGCCATGAGCCTCTGGGTTTGTCTGTTCCCAATAAATGGACTGTTCACAGGTGGCAAGAATCAGGATTATTCCCCTTGCCTTGTAGGTACGAGAAGGCTGAAGGGGAACCAATGAGCAGCCTTTGGGGTCTGGGTGCTGGGAGGCTTGGGAGTAAAAACCAAGGCTATTATACAAACGGAAAAGCTACCTATGAATAATTTGCGAGTAGCCTGTGGAATAAAGGTGGATCCACACAAATCACATTTAAAACGGGCATATCCCACCCCTATAGACTGTGAGTCACTTGCCTTGTTGAAAACCATGGCCTTATGCACATAGGCTTCCTCACCACATGGTCACCTGCATACCTCCTAGAGAAAGCCTGTGGGCCCCCTATCATAGCTACACTCAGTGGCCTCCAAGCCTTGGGCTCTGTGCCCCGCCCCATCCTGGACCAGTCTCTGTGCAGATCAAGTGATGGCCTGGTGTAGTGCAGGCAGTGCGGATGGGCAGGAACCCACCCAGTGGGGAGGACCCCCTAGTCTCCTCTCCCTCCTAGGGAGCCCTAAGACCTGGAGCTGAGGCTTGGTGGTAGCATTTCCACCCTCTGTGGGGCCCCCAAACCCTTCCTGCTGCCTCACTCATGTCCTGTAACAATCCCCCCACCACAATCCCCTCTCCTGAGTGTTAGGGTGCAGCTCCCTTTTCCCCACAGCCCCATGCAGAGCATCTATTCTGTGCCAACCCCTGCATTAGAAGCTGGTGATACAGAGGTGACTAAGACGCTCTCTTAACCCTGGAGGGACTCTAGACCTCACCGAGGAGTCATAGATAATGAGAGACAGCGAGCATGGAAACAACAAGAAAAGACAACTAATGATCATGCCCAGAAAGGGGGTCAAGAGAGATGCTCACAGAGAAGATTGTAAGGATAGAGCCTGGGTGAAAGCGTAGGGCAGCCTATTCAAGAGAACCCGTTCATTCACTTTTTCATTCCTTCAATACACACTTAGGAATCACCTGCTAGGGGTCAGGCCACCCAGGGGTGCTGGTGACATGGTGATGAGCAAGATAGCTCCAGTCAGGGTTGACTTACTCAGCAGACAGGGTAGATACAGTTCCTAGAGCCCACAGCAGGGCCTGTAAAATGGTGCAGGCACTTTGGCAAACAGTCTGGTGGTTTCTCCAAATGGCAAATACAGACCTGCCATTCGACCCAGCAATTCCACTCCGAGGTATATACCAAGGAGCGATGAAAACACGCGTCCACACAAAAACTTACATGTGAACACTCATAGAAGCGTTATTCACAGCAACCAGAAGGTGGAAACAACCCAAACGTCCATCAATGGACAAACAGATCATCAAAATGTAGCGTATCCACACAATGGAGTATTATTTGGTCATGAAAAGGCATGAAGTACTGATCCGTGCTACCACACGGATGATCCTTGAAAACATCATAGTAAGTAAAAGAAGCCAGCCACAAAGACCACATGTTCTATTACTCCATTCCTATGGAAGTCCAGAATAGGGAAATCTATAGAGACAGAAAGCCAACTAGTGGTTGCTTAGGGCTGGAGGGAGGAGAAGATGGGGGCCGGGGGGTGATAGCTAAATGCTTCCTTTTGAGGTGGTGAAAATGTTCCAAATTTGGCAATGGCGACAGTTTCGTGAGTCTGAGCATATACACCACCACACTGTGTATTTTTAAGTGAGTGGATTCCATGGTATGTGAATTATATCTCCATCGAGCTCTTTGGTTTTTTTAATGAGGCCCTGGCCCCAGTCTGTGCCTCCCAGGGCGTACAGCCTAGCAGGGCATAGAGACCTGGAACGGGAGATTACACATGTGAGAACTGCTCTGGAGGGGGTCATAACTGAGGGTCCCACCCAGCCCCAGGCTTCGGGATGGTCCCCAGGAGGAGGGCAGGCAAACTGGACCCTGAAGGGAAGTAGGACTCAGGGGAAGAAAGCCCGGTGGCAGTTCCAGGCCAAGGGCCTGGCAACTGTGAGCCAGAGCGCACCGTGCGTGAGCCGGTGAGAGTCAGGAGACCAGGACATCCGCACAGGGGGCAGGCAGTTGGGCACGCAAGAGCAAGGCCTCCCAGCATCCGTTCCCACTTGCAGCCCTGGCACTATGGGCCAGGCCCTAGAGCCCTGCTAAGAAGCAACCTGCTGATGAATATACAAAGCTCTGAAAACTACAGGGGTGCTTTGGCCTGGAGTCAGCGAAAACAGAGATTCCAATAGACCACCCACCTCCAGCTCACAGATGGCTCCCTGAGGCCCAGGAAACACCCCATCGGAATAAAGGAGGGGACGGGTTCCCCACCCTCACTGTGAGGTGGGCTCCCACATGCCTACCGTCCCTTTGGGATTTCCCTTTCAGAGGGCAGAGGCCCAGGGAGAGAGGAGGCTATCTGAACAGTCCACGAGGCAAAACTGGCCCCAGTGGTGGGAGACCCAAGCTCTGTCCTGGAAGGGAGCCCGGAGGCGTGGGCCATCCCCCTCCAGACTGCCCACCATGCAGTCCCCCTCAGTGTTGTGCAGCACCACCCCCATTCTTCCTCCCTCCCCCCACTAGGAGCTGACTCAAGGCAGATGGGACAAAAGTGCCTCCTGGTGGTGGCCCGGTGGTTCACATTCCATTCACCTAGGCACCTGCACCCAGGGCCAGCCCTGTGCAGGGAGGGTGCTTGGGATACAGACAGGATCTGCGAGACCGTCGTCTGCCTGATGTCTGAGTTTCGCTGCATCCCTCTGGGCCTCGGGAATCCAAATCCTGGCCTCTTCCAGAGCACCCCTGTGAAGACAGGACGGGAACAGCCCAAAGGGGCCTGGGGACAGTGGAAGTACCCAGAATGAAGCTCCTTGTTTCCGTGTCTGTCTCCCCAGAATGTCTCCTATTTCTTTGTCCCTCTCCTCACCAGGACCTCCCTTCTCCCCACGAGGCCCTTCCCAGCCCCACCTCCTCCTCCCTCAGGTCCCCTCTGCCCTGCCCCGACGGCCCCTTGTCTGGCCAGGATCCCTTCCTCACCCCAGTCCTCTCAGTGGCCCCAGTGCACCCGCCACTGCTGCTCTCCACCAGGGCTTGGACTGGGGGAAAATGGCCTCCGAAGCAGCCCTGCGAACAGACCAGGGAACAGGATCGCTGTGTCTGCTGGAAGGCACCCAGCTGGGCCCCAGCCATCCCAGCAGCTAAACGCGGTGCCGGGCACACAGCAGTGCCCAGCAAGGCTGTAGAAGCACCTTGACCGGTGCACCTTCCAGGAGCGGCATTTTCACCCTGGTCAGGTGACAGCTGCCTGGGCAACGTAAGGAATTGGGATTACACCTGAGAAAAATCCTCCTGCCTGGAAGAGTGGGGATCCCCAAACAAGAGGGGTGCTCTGTCTCTCCGGGGGAGGTGTTTAAATTCCATCCAAGTGTCATTAGTCTGAGAGGGTAGAGGAGTGGAAGGCCTAAGCAGGGGTGGGCTCAGCCTCTCCCCACCACTCCCCTCTTTCTGCTGGGGGACTCCCAAGCTTCCCTTCCCACAGGGGGGGTTGCAGGTCCTAGCATGAACACCTCCCAGGGAGTGTCTTTTTCCAGCACAAACTTGTTTCGGGCAAAACGGAAACATTTGGAAGAAGGCGGCTTTAAGCAAAGCCTCTCAGCCTCTGGGATTTCCCTGTCCTTCCCTCCCACGCACGCACACAGCCACAGCACGCCCAGGGTTCCCAGACCCAGGACAGGGCCTCTCCCCATGCTTCAGGGGCTCTGCCTCCCCCCACGGCACAGAGGGCAGATCGCTGGCACCCGTCCCACAGCCATCCTGGGAGGAGCCGTGGCGGGGCTCAGCCCCCAGATCTGGGGATTGCACCCGGACTGACTGACAGCAGCAGGAAGGAACTGTCAGGGCAGCAAAAGCTCCCGCCAGCCCAGAGTTTCCAGGGCACCTGCTGCCTACGTGCCACCCCCCTACCCTGAAGAACCTGCTGAGGGTTGTGTTCTGCATCATCTGGTGGAATGACACCTCAGAACTATAAACTGCTGATGGTGATAGCTCATTCCAGAACCGGAGTTATGCCTGACTGGTCCCACCCGCCCCGCCTGGTCAGGCCCGCAGGAAGCAGAAGCCAAGGACAGCCCCAGAATGGCTGGGCTGGCGGGTGATGAAAGTGAAGTGTGACTGTGGTGCGGGAAGAGGCGGTTGCTGGATAGGAACAGGGGTGGCCGTCTAGCAGGGAGGGGAGGCTTGTGCAAAAGAGACGGGAGGGGCAGAGAGAGGGAGGGAGGGAGGAGAGCGAGGGGGAGCGATGGACGGCAGTGACCACACCAGCTGCCACAGCGTTGCCCCAGACATTTTCATATGTATCCCCACAATACTGTGAAGGAAAAGGAGGTGTCAGTCCATTTTACGGATGAGAAAACTGAGGCTTAGAGAGGTTAAAGGACTTCCCCCAGGTCACCGGTATACCCCAGAGGGGGCATGTTTGCTGCCCAACACTGTTCGAAACGACCAGTGAGCAGTGATAGTAACAAGCAGACTGACATGCAGTCGGTTGTATTATAGTTTTGAAGTTCTCTACAGACAAGAACCCGCAGCAGAGCCCTGTTCCCCATCTGCCCTCGGTGCACCACCGTCCAAGGTCACTCTGCTGGCAGGTGGCAAAACTGGGAATGAACCCAGGTCCATCTGACTCCAAGGACTGTGTCAAGTCCCTGTCGTTGGCCTGGCACACTCACCGGTGTTCTCAACGCCTCTTTCCCACTTTCACATCCCCAGGGTTCCTCCATTCTCCTTCCCAACCACCTAGATCCCCTTACTCACAGCCCCAGAGGCCAGACCTGGAGGGCAAACTGGGTTGGGTCCCCAACAAGCACTTGAGATTCTACCCCACCATCATCCTCAGGGCCATGCCTGTCCATTTTGGAGCCCAGAGTCTCCTCTTCATGAAATATCTCCAAAATTAAATGCTCAAATTCCTCTTCTTCCTACTTCCTGCTCCTTTCTCCCCCTTGTCCTGCTTTGAATCTTTGAGGTGTATTCATGCATTCTACAAAACTAGGCATTCCCATCATGTGC